ACAAAAAAAAAAAAAAAAAAAAAAGTAGTTGCATTTTTGCCCACCGGCAGCACACGTTCTGGCATGGCATCGAGATCTCGGAGATATACTATTCCCGAACAGATCTTCACCGAGTCTACGATAGTCGATATGTTCATGATTTGTTTTCCAAACGTTCCATCGCACGAAATGTTTAAATTTTTATGATTTTATCCTACATCGAAAATATAGTATTCCCAAACAGATCTTCACTTAGACTATAATATTCGGTATGTTCAGGATTTGTTTTGCAAACGTTCCATCGCAAGGAATGAGCAGGAAAAGACACCAAAGCGGGCGCACTCACAATTACATGCGCTGCCAACCAGCCCAGCCCCCCCTTCTGGCCAGTAGGCCAAACCCCTTTCCGCCACAGCCAGTGTGAATACCGCCACAGTCTTAGTCAACATCGGGCCAAGTGGTGGCTTGTTTAACTGGTCATCGAGTCTCCCTCCACTACTCGACATTCTAAACGCATCCGGACTGTGTTCCGGACCATATTCATTTGGACAGATCGAACATTTTGCACCGGAACCATAACCACAACTTGACATGATACTTTTAAAAATGTTGTGCAGTGGAGCAAGGCCCAATGTCTCCCAAGTCCATACCCCACATCCAGCACGAGCGAACAAGTGTGTCCGCCTGCACCTGTGTGTGTGCACATGTGTGTGCACACTGCACGTATCCATGTTTCTTGTGCTGGTGTGTCCGATCCCTGCCCTTGCACCGCAGCAACCCATTTTCCAAGCACCTACCAAACCCTGCCGCGCCACCGCGGCACTCAAATTGTCCTAGCACGGGTCTCGCTCCACTTCTCACTGCATGCATTCCATGCTCTCGCAGAAGATTCATTCTCATGTTGCAAATTTGGTGAGTCATGGAGCAAGGCCCCACCACTTCGTTTTCCTCCTTGTCCCCCCAAGCCACATCACACAGCCAAAAATGTCCGGATCTTTTGAGAAACCCACGACCGCCGGCCATTCAATTGGCCACGGGTGAGGCTTACATTTCGCCGTTGGGGCTCGCCCACCTTTCGAAAACATCCGAGCAGAGCAGAGTACCCGGCAGCAATGGGCATATGACGGCATGCACACTGCTGATTACCCCACCCCCGGCTCATTGTGAAGCACCTGCAGCCAGCCAGCTATCGGAGTAAAGGGCGCTTTCGGTCAAATCAACGATGCGTGGAGAGAGACCAGCTTGCATTCCATTTGCGCTCCAGTGCCACTTTTTTTTTTTTTTTTTTTTAATGCAATCCAGAACTGTGAAAGTCAAATGCATTTGATTGTTTGCATCATGATACCGCAAACTGATCCAGCATATTATCGTTCCCATGAAGGAGGGTGGCGATGACTATGTCCAACACCACACTCGAATAGGATCGATTTATTGAAAAGTCTAGAACAACCTGCTACCTTGCCAAGAAAATGAATATCCTCCCACTCCCACTTTACATTCCCCAAACACATACGATCGATACCTAACACTGGACAACAGCAGCGCAGACCAGCCAAACCAATGAACCCATCGCGAGATGATGTGATGTATACATCCCACACAACATCATCGGGCTAAATCACTTGTGTTTTTTTGGGTAGGGTTCGCGTCTCACTCATTTCGGCTGGACTCCCCACGCGTCCAGTGCTCTAGTACCTCTCGTGCGCTATCTTTACAAGCTACAACACTACAAAGATGGACAAGTTCTTTTGAGAAGATTCCCTGTCTTCTTTACATGATTGGTTGGTAAGTTCCACCGTGACCCTTGCGCAAAACAAGGGGCCCGGCTGTCTCTGGAACACGGTCCATCATTTGCATGCACATGTCAATTACATCCGGAAATCCAAGTGTGACGGTCGCCAGCTGTAATCGCAAGCGCATATCCTTGGCCTGCCTGAGCAGCAGCCTAAATGACCTGGACAAGTATCTTCCGGTCTCGACAGGCACTCCACCTGGGAACCATTTGGGAAACTCAGAGGAGGTCCCACGCGCCGTGACTTCGGCCCGGTACACCCGTGCAAGCTCCATGAGAAGCGCATTGGTGAATGGCAGCGCCGACGCATACTCGAGAATGTATTGTTCTCTGCCGGGAATCAGCACCTGATTCCAGATTGGAGAGACCCACTCCGCAGGCTGGTTGAGCCAATAGGCGTTGGCGACAACCAAAGCTTCTTGGAACTGAGTTTGCTCTGCCATCAGCCTCCTAGCAGCAGACTCGGAGAGCTGCAGCCACATCATGTCCGGCATGCGAAGCTGAAGAGAAAGCAGCGACGCCTGGGCAACGCACCGTGCAACTCCGACCCCACAATCTACCAACTTCCATGCCTCTGCTGCCTCAACATAAAGCTCCATGATGGCCAGAAGCTCATCGCTCTGGTCCAAGTTGCGCTTGGCGACCCAAAGTTTGACTCCTTCCTGTGCCGCGTTTTCCAGAGACTCGGCAATCTCGTGCGCCATGTTGAACCTATGGTACACCACTGCCATGGACTCCATGTCATCAGGACGACAGCGCTTCAGTGCACTGAGGACAGCCATGCGGAACTCTCTGACACTTCCACGTATTTGAGGTCCGCTGTCAGAAGCTGCTCCTTTCCCAAGCAGTAGCTCAAGCTGACCATTCTGAATCAACAAGTCGAAGAGGAAACGCAAGGCGCGGAAATTGCTCACCCCAGTGAGAAGCCGAGCCAACGGCCGAAAAGCCGAGTCCCGAACATACGCATTTGCTCTCTCAGCTGCCAATGTCATAAGCACATCAATACCATCCAAGCATGCTGCCGAATCGTAGTAACGGTGTGCAAGGATCATCAACTCAACCTCACAGGCATGCGGGACATCATGTCCTCCGCTGATGACCAGCCTCATCAAGGCATGTCCAAGATCTGCGTCCTGTGGACACAGTTTTCCCCACTGTACAAAATCTGCCGGCCTCCAGATGAGAGGCGATGGCCCCTCTTCTCTGTCAGGAGCATCCAAGTACCCTCCACGGTGAGCTGCCAACACGCCTTTTAAGAAGGACTCCGCTAGTATTTTTGCGATCGTCGCAGAGTCCATGTGACTCACGGACACAAGCGCATGGGCGATGGGAAGAGCGTCCTGGCCTTTGAGGGAGAGGAGCTGGAGCAACTCTGCTGGATTCTTCGAGGTAACTTCCGAATACGAGATACCCAGATACTCTGCCACCTGGAATAGAGTGAGGATGCGGCGACAATGGCCCCGCCCGTGTCCGTCCTTGCACGCATTCATAATTTCCAGCAGAATCTCCAATGGTGTGGCCTTCTGCAAGTCTTTGACAAACCCAGCTTTCTGAAGCTGCGACGTGACAGCCTGAGGAAGCACACAAGCTGCCTCACCGATCAGTGAACCAGCACTCGTTGAAGGCTTAGCATTAGGGGTCCCTCCTTTCGATAACCCAGTGCCTCCTCCACAGGCCTGTGCCACCTCCTCTGCTGTCTGCACCATGAGAAGGAGCTCGGTCAGTTTCTCTTCTCTCTCGCTTGCTCCCAATGAGAATCTCTCCGCAAGAAGTCGAGCAGGACCAACCTGACCCTCTTCAAGCAGCACAAACATGGCCTTCTCTGCACCTCGCCCACTTCTCACTGCCTCTCCGACTGCACCATCGTCGATGTCCTCGTCCACAACTGAGCGACGATTACCATTCCTTTCGCTTGCAGCACCTTCGTGGACATCCGGAGCAGCTTCCCCTCCATGGTGTTCTCTTTGGGGACCCGCCACTCTCGCTGCAACCCCTTCTCCACCACTCACAGAGACAGCCATAACAACACCTTCCTGCGGGCCCACCATCTGTAAACCTTCATGACTCCTTTTTCCCTGCAAGCCGATGCTTGGTTTCCCCGTCTTCGGTTCCATGGGACTCGCTGTTTCTACCACGCTTCGCTGGATTGCCAAATCAATGGCAATCATTGCCTGTGCCGTCTCTGCAACTAGGGGCGACTCACTGCCCTGTGGAAGGATGGGAGTTGAGCCATCAGCAGAGCTAGAAGAGGCAATGGCAGTGCCAGAGGTAGTTATAAACAACAACTGTGACCCTTCCCCCCTGTTTGCTGACGAAGCCTTTCCTAGGGCCTTGGACGATGTCGACGATCCCAGCAAAGAGTCGCCGCTGGCACGCAATTCAACAGCAAGCAACCAAATGCGCGTCTTCAGATCTTCTAGCTCAGAGATCGGGCGGCAAGGGGAGGACTCGCTAACAGACCCACTCCACCACTGCAAGCAGAGCAAGAGAACTCTGTGAAGCTCCCTCTGAAAGTCGGCCTCCTCCAGCTCCTTAGCATGGCGCATGAAGAACCCCCCAGCCTTGCTGGGTGCGAGTTTATGTTTGAGAAACAGGGAGTGGCAGTGGCCCCAAACAGCAAGCCTCTCCTCCGCATCATCCCAGAGGAGATCTCTCCATTCTTCCAGCAGCGCCTCGGCCTGAGTGAGAGTTACTCGATCATATGCATGTTCAATTTCGCCAGCATACCTGTCGCACTCTTCGGCCCATCTATGTGCAGCATCCCATTGGTCAGCATCCTCCAAAGCATCCAAGATGCCATCAACCCCCAGAGCCGCAGAACTCGCCTCCTCGGCTTCTTCCTCCTCCCCTTCATAATCTTCCATCCCCCTATCCTCTTGATCTACATCATGCCACTCATGATGATCCCCCTTCTCCCCTCCTCCCTCTTGCGAAGTCTGTATCCACTTGTCGTTCAGTCCAGCATGCTCAATAATTTCCTCAGCTACATAGAGATGGCGGTAGCTCTCGCCAGCACACGCATTGCGAAGGCAGAAACTTTCTTCTCCTCTCATTTCTCCCTTGTTTCTCTTTCCGCCCATACTCAGACGACACCCGTGCCTCACCAGTGCTTTGTATATCGTCCCTAGACGGGACCTACTACCATCCATGTCAACTTCACCCCCATTCCTCTTCAGGAGACTCTCGCTCCTTCCCTCCTCCCCTCCTCCCTCCCCAAAATCTATGCCCGCCAGCAGACTTAACAAACACCTGCGTTCATAACTGGTTGGGACTGCATCTAGTGTGGAATCTGCAGCAGCAACGGCAACAGCCGAAAGCCACACAGTTTTCACCTCTCTCTCCTCTATTGTTTTACATGCCGATCGCTCTTGAGCAAGGTTCACCGAGAAAGCGTGCAGCTGATTCCTGGCCTCCAAGAGACGCATCTGGGAGAACGCCTGCAGAAAGAGAAGAAAGTTCAGTAACGGTGATGTGGGCATGAACAACTCAAATGCCCTCAGAAGAAGATGGAAATACTTCTCCTTGCATAGGAGGGACGTCATTGCAACAAGGTGTGACCCCTTGTACCGTCTCCTGAAGCAGTCTCCTCTTCCTGACAGGAATTGCTGTTTCCTTCCTCCAACAGTTGTCTTGGATGGTGCTGTATCTGCCGCAGCAATAGTACCATTCCTGTTAAAACTCCTCCTCCTTCTGACTCCCTCTAGTGGTGGTTCGTCAGAAGTGGCACTGGCATCGGACTCCGCACTGTAGAATGTGCCATCACTACCTAGCGAGCCTTGCCGTGCAAGTAGGTTTTCTGTGCCATTCCCACCCTCCCCTCCACCGGTTGATAATGGTTGCAAAGCAGAGTGATGAGACGTGGATGACACACACGTCAGTGCATCCGAAGACTGCTTTGAAATCCGACCCTTTCTGGCAGGTGCCACAAGGACCTCCCTCCGTTGCCTCTTCCTAGGCCTCTGCTCCGGAGTGGTCAATTCAACTGTCCCGTACAAACCCACACCGTTCGTCCCTGCCACGGATCGGTTTTCATAATCACCTTGAAAACCTTCTGTCCGCAATTCCGTCTCTGCAGCTATTGCAGCGCTGCTGGTTTCTCGATTGTCCAAATCACCAGCACCTGAGGTCAGCCCCACTAAGCTGCTGCCATCGTTGTCCTCCACATCATCATAAACAGTTGCTGTAGCAGCTACACCATCGCTAGCAGGTGGACATGTCGTGGGAAGAGGAGCCGTAAGAAACGCAGGGTCTGAAATCGCTGGTATTATTCTAAGACTTACAGCTACAATCTCGATCCAACAAATCAAACAGTCCAGGGGAGAAACATCGTCGAAACAAGATGCCACAACTGCTAGCAACGACCACCTCTCCTCTCTTGCACGCTGGAGGAGGGCTTTGCCTGGATGTGTGAGTGCTTCACACTCTCCCACCACACTGAAGAGCTCAGAGAGTGGCGGTCCACCGGCATAAGGGCCCCACAGCCATCCATCCTTGTCCACAAAACCCTTTGCGACCCTGGCAGTTGCGGGAAAGACGGGGGAAGAAAGAGAGTGGGCAGTAGTAGTAGTAGGGGTGCCCCCCCCGCCTGCTCTCGCTGCACACATTGCAACAGTATCCCTTGTGTTCTGCTGGACAGCTAGTCTACTACTCCGCTGCAGCATAACTCCCGCCGACAACACTGGTTGATGGAGAGTTGGTGGGATCAGTGCTTCAGAAGTTGTTGCCATGGCTTGAAGATTGTCGAGCACTATTATAATATGACTGCGGAGCCCTGGATCCGTGAACTCCGCAGCTGCAAGAGACCGCACCTGGGCCAGAGAATATCCTCCTGCCTGCGCCTCTGCCAAGAAACCAATCCAGTCGTTCTCTTCAGCAAGACGGCGCAGGTAAGTGGTCCTCGGAGAGATGTGATGAATCTTGCAGAAAGCTGACATCAACGCCCACCGGTCACTCGTGACTCGTTGTTCACCCCTCATTTTGGACCAATCACCACCCACTTTGCCAGCCAACCAACCACCTATGGAAGCTGCAGAGGAGGGGAGCCACATTGTGATCGTGGATGCAGCAGTGGCAACTCCAGAAGCACCCCTTTCTGCACCAGATGCCGCAGCTGACCTTGCGTCACTACCATCACCGCCTTGATTACCTTCTGACAAAACACTTGCTAGCTCCAAGTATTTCAACATCGCCATAACCACACTACTCGCCTTCGGCCGTAGGGTTCCTCCTGCACCCACTGATGCACCTCCAGGTTGATCCCTTTCCCCTCCCGCAACATCCACCACCGGATATGCACCTATTCCTCCCACCCTGTACTCATCCCCCAACCCTCGGGCAAGCGCACCGGCCACATCATCGATCAACGAGTCCACTGACATTCCCAGCACAGACGCTGTCTCCTCGAGATTTACCCTCCTGCTCTCGGATAAGCCCAGCCGCCCTTGCTGGGTGTTGACGAGTTGCCTCTTGCCCATGAACTGGGAAATGCGATGCAATGCTGCCACATCTACATGTAGGTTGAGAGTTGGAGCCCCGCAGAGATCCAACAGGCAAGCACACGCCGTCACGACTGCAGTGTTGTTGTACTCCTGCAATGCAATTGGCATAACAATGGAGAACAAATCGTCCTCCTCCTCTACCGACAGCGGCACAAGCAATGCCATTGTTTCCTCATCTGACTTGTGTTGATCCTGTTGGTTATCATCATTGATCAGCATCCCCCCAACTGCATCACCTCCTGCGGACTTAGATGATTGTTTTTCCCCCACAACGTGGTTGGTGTTGCTGCTCCTGGTGCCCCCAGCAGGGCTCTTTCTGTCCAAACGTCGAGCCAGAAAGCAGTCAAAAGCCTTCAATGGTCGGTTTTGCAGGAGGTAATACTCCATCCCCATGGCAACTTCCTGAGAAGACGGAGAATAGAAGGTCTGTTCAGTGACCCGCTGCAGCCACCGCTCCCAAGCGGACACCTCTGCTTCCAGTAGCACAATGGACGAATCCGAGTCAACGTTCTTTCTCATGCCTTGCATTCCAGCCATCTCAGAGACAGCTGCAGCAACGAGTGCCTCCCTCGTCTCCCATGACCAGGACTTACCGTCCGCGGCAGGGCCGCCAACTGCCATAGCCAAGAGCTTCCGCAAGTTCCAAGGAAAGCTAGGTGGCAGCATTCGTAGCAGGGAAGTGTCCCCTCTCCACGAACTAAAGAACTGCTGCCGCCACACCAAATACGTTGACAGCTGTTTGCTTTCCTCAGCTGCATACTCATTTTGAGGAGCAGACCAAAACAAAGACCAGAGAGATGTACCCCGGCCCTCAACATCTTGTCGACTCCCTTCCACATCTGTCCTCCCCCTTTTCACCTCTTCTTCCAAAGCTCTCCGTAACGTTGGATACTCTTTGAGCCCCGCCAACAGTCTATCTACCCTGCAGAACCAAGAAGGCCTTGAAGGAGGAGCAGGATTGAAAAACGGCAACAACTCCTGGTTTCCATCCTCAGCAGCTGCAGCAGCAGCAGCAGCACCACCACCACCACCACCTAGGTACGCTGTTCTCTCGCTCGTATACTGCACATGTGCGCCAGGTCGGCCTAATAGTGATCCCATCAAGCCATCATCATGAATACCATCATCATCATCAACGCCATCATCAACACCATCATCAATGCCCTCATCAATGCCCTCATCAATGCCCTCATCCGCACAATCACCCCCATCCTCGAGTCGAGCCGTGCTCGGCGAAGGAGTATGCTCGGAGGGTGACGTGGGCATCATCCATTCTGCTGTGTTGTTGTCAAAGCAAGAGTGGACCGCCGGCACCAAGCAGCTTTCCAATGGCACAGGGGCATGAACAAGCATGGCTAGTGCCACCATGATAGCGTCGTCGCCTCCCTCTCTGGCAATGCCGTCGACCGTCAGATATTCAAGCAGCTTATCGTCCCGTTCATCGCCATCAGCATGACGATGACCCACATCGTCAGGACAAGTTGCGGAAGCAGAGAGGGAAGAAGAGACGACACCTGCCTGCTGTGTCTGACAACGGTGAAGGCGGCGAAGATTGAGTGTAAAACGCGCATTTGCGAGAGAAGCTTCGTACTCGGAAGACTCCCCTAGGCGCGAGAGAATGAGCCAATGAGCCCAGTGGCAATCGCCCGCCGCGACCCGAAACAAGCCTACAGAAGACGAATCCAAACCCAGACAATGGTGATCTAAATATAGCTGCAGCACGTGAGGCAGATTCTGCTTCACGCATTGCTGCACAACGAGGGGATGGACCCCCTCTATCGCCGCGGGTAATGATTCTTCCAAGCTGCCTTCTCGGGCCGCCGATGCCCGGGTACCTGCCGAGCCTTGGGCCTTCTTCCATGCTGCTGCTGGTGCTCGTAGTTTTTTCTGTGCCGGCATGAACACCCCCGCCCTAGCCAACAATGTCAAAAGCTCAGAAGCCTTCCACGACTGCCTTGGGAGGAAAATGCGATACCTTGCGAGGATCTCTGCCATCGTCGCATACAGAGTCTGCGTGCACAGTGGACCCAGGTCCACGTTCAACAACTTCACCTCCCCGATCACAAAATGAACCTGCTCCAGGGTAGTGACTTCAGGTTCAAAAAAGCGGGTATCACCGACCCCCCACTTGTCCCCTCCCGGGTGGGTCTCTTTCTCAGCAGCACCCGTTCCACTGGCCTCTCTAGCATCCGCCAGAGCAATGTCATCCTCCCATCCGACTGTGCTCAAGCCCACCTGTTGCTGCCTCTGGCCCTTCTTTTGCCCGCAACGACTTCCTCCTCCATCCTCCTGAAACTCCTCAAGGGAGACCTGGAGCTCAGCAGATTGCAAGTACGCGTCTGGAATGCTCTGCACAGGAAGCTTCTGCAGCTGTCCAATATCGTCATGTGCCACGAGTAGCTGCAGCTTCGCCTCCCAGACAAACGGCCCAGCTGGTACGATACCCCTTTCCAAGAAGATGCGGGCCAGAGTGAATCGATCCCACTGCCCAACCCATGTCGCAGCAACTGTCAGGTACCCACTTCTGCGAAACAGACTCTCTTCATCTTCGTCACTCTCTTCCGCGCCTTCTTCTTGTCCTCCTCCTCCTCCTCCCAACTCCTCTGTATCCTTCTTCCCCCCTCCTCTGCGTTCTCCTTCCCCTCCTCTTGCTTCTTTTCCTCCTCCTCCTCCTCCTACTACTACTGTTTTTGTCATTACCCCTTCTGCTGCTGCGGCTCTTGTACTGCCACTGTTTCCCTTCCCCCAGGTCCCCAGCACGACGCCATCCACCTCCCCAAACTCCACGTTAAGCATGCCGCCTTCGACTGATGTCCCCTCTACGACTCTCTCCCCTCCTCGTCCTGGCTGCGGAGCTGCAGCCGCATCGTCGTCAGATGCGTCTATGGGCGCAAACACTCCCTTGCGCACACCATATGCATCTTCAAAACTCGGATTGGGATAGGCCAATTCCAGCCCCTCGACAGTCTGGAGGAGCCGAGCATCCTTGACGGTCAGCATGCCCCTCGACTCTAGCTCCTTGGCCGCCATTCTGCGAAGATCTCTCCTTAAGCAGCCAAAAGCCAGATCTCTGAGGACGCTCTCCACGTCGTGACCCAATCTCCGCAGGGCCACTATCGCTGTGTTCACTTTCCCCTTGGCAAACAGGTCGTAGACGATCCCCTGAGCTATTTCCTGCACCTCTTCGAATACCTTATCTGTCTCTGTCAGGGCCTCCTTCCCTCCTGATGCCCTCTCCTCCCCCCCTTTACCAGCAGCTCCCCCCGTTCTCTGTCTCTGCTGCGAGGAGGAGGAGGATGCCTGCTCGCGCCCATCGGGCCCCTGCTCTCTTTGCAAATGAAACCCACCTTCCTGAGAGTCGACCGGCTTCCTTTGCTGCAAGTAGACTACGGCAAGCGCCACCCGTCCGGACTTCAACGCATCCTTCACAACCACGGCTTTGTCACACCGATCCCGTTCCCAGCGGGCGAACATCTCCCCGGGCGTTTCCACATGCGGGCGGCGCAGGACCACGCTGGACGAATTCTCCTCGACAGACGAAGTGCCCATCGCTGCATCCGCGGACCTGCTCCCCCCTCCGACTGCAGCTAAGCTTAGGCTGAGACCCGAACCCGTGCGCGGAAAACCCTGTCCACCGCCGACGCCGGCCACAACCAAGCTCCCGCCTTCCGCCGCCGCTCTTGACCGCGGTGTATCGCCTCTCAACGACCCGCCCGACGCCGTCGTGACGGCAAGAAGATTGTGCGAGGAGGATCCCTTGGCCTGTGTCCTCGTCTGAAGCCGTCGTACCGTTTGCAAGTAATTACTTATGTCCCTCAGTTCCTGTCGGGCGACCGCTCTGGGACTTGAAGAAGAAGCTCCTCCTGGCTGAGAGCTAGGGGATCGTTCCTTGCTGGCCACCCCGTGGGGGAGACCTGATGACGGAAGAGATCGATTCCTCTCATCAGTGGGACTGGCGCTGGGGAATCCCGATGGCAACGGCGCAGCGTCTGCCACCGAGGGAACTGCTGCTGCGGAGGAGGAGGAGGAGGAGGAGGAGGAGGTCGACGATGGTGTTGATCCTGATCGACCTCTTGACGCCCCATCATCCCCGCGCTTGGACCTCTCTTTCTCTGTCGGCGTATCAGGACGTGCTTCCGTCCTCGTCTTCTGCAGCCAAAAGTGGCGGCTACGGAGTTCTCTCATCGCGTGTGTACGAATCACCCCCGAGGCAAACCGCGCAGCCACGGCCAGCAGCTTAGCGGCCTGCACTTGATCCTTGCTGTCCTGAGGCGTGTTATGCATAAGATCGACGGCTGCAAAGACGAGCCTACGCAATGCAGGTCGCGAGGCCTTCGCCATAGCCAGTTCCTCCAAAGCCCTCTCTATGGGTCCCATCTGGTTATGGGACAAGGCAATCTCCAGACTGCGTAACTTCAATGGCAAGGGATCCCATCCGTTCAACGAGAGCAAGAGATCGGCTTGCTTAGAGCCATCGAAGATGAGCGTGCGCTCCAGAACCGCCATTTTCCAGCAATTGGCAGCTAAGAGCTGTTGCTGCTCTTTATGATTCTGCACGTTGCGCCAGGAGGAGACTTCTTCTTCTTCTTTCTCCTTCCCCTCTTCCTCCTCCTCCCCCTTCTTCTCCCCGCAAGGGCGCCCCGCCTCTCCTCTGGACCTTCCCCCCCCCTGATGCCCTCCCTCTCCCTCTGCCATCATCAAGGTCATCGCGTCGCGCAGTCTCCCGTAACTACGATTCCCGCCAGCCTGCTTCTCGCGCTGAGTCCCCCGCTGCTGGAAAAGTGGAGGCAGGAGTGCGAAGAGTCCCCCGCTGCTGGCGACGTACAGTCTCGATCCCACGCGTACCGGGATCGCACTCTCCTCACCTCCCAGAGCAGCTATCGTCGCGCTCCACATCCCCGTTTCTTCGCTAAGTGAGCCCTCTTGCCCGCGACCTACTCGGCAGTCGTCGCCTGCGTGCGCTGCCACCCGAAACCGAAACCACCCAATCGCATACCCCTTGCCTCCGTCCAAAGAATACAACCCCACGATGGCAAGGGGGGTTAGGACGAAATCCAACAGCTCCCCGCTCTTCCACGGAGGGAGAAACACCGACCTGCTCGCCATCGTCGCAGTGGGGGGCAGTTCCTTCATCGACCACCAATCTCTGCCGCTCCTGCTATGTTGTTGATCATCAAGCGATGAGCTCCGTTCAGGAGGGAATACGCCGGTGCCATTCCGCAACCGTGTGCTCCTCGCACCACCTTCTCCTCCTCCTCCTCCTCGTGTCGGCCCCGCCTTGTCCTCCTCTATTTTCCTCCCCTTGAGACCAAAGCTCAATGGGCCGATATCCATTCCCGCTGCTTCCCAGGGGAAACAACACGCCATTTTCCTCCTGCAGCCTTCCTGACCCGTAGTAGGGGGCCCGACAAGCACGAGCGCCGATCCCGACGAAGCCGATGATGTGTCATCATCGCCCTCCCTCTTCCACGGGCTCTCCGCCGCAAGCCCGGCAGCGTACACAACTCCCCTCTCGTCCGCAATAGCGACGAGTTTGCAATCGCCGCTGAGTTTCATTTTCCTAAACACCGCCCGCTCTTCGCGAGATCGCCCCCCACGATTCCGCACGTCCAGATCCCTACTCTCGTTTAACGGCGGCGACGATGCAGGAGGAGGGAGGGCCGCCACCCCCGTCGCCGCCGCCGACCCCGACGTCACTCCGCCCATATCTCTACTGGCTGCGGCTCGACGAAGCAGGCAACCCCCGGCACCGATCCCGCACTTCAAGGGTACGTCAATCACCGCCAGAGGGCGCCCTCCTCCCGCCCGCGCGCTCCACGTGTACACGCAACCATCCGCACGGAGAGCGAAGAAGGACCCCCCCCCCACCCCGTAGGACACGAAATGGGGAACGCAGGTTGCCACATTGCCCCCGCGGCGAAGATCGACGGCGGACATCGCCTCTAGGCTTGATACGTGAACACTCATTATAATCGCAACTCGCGGAAGACGCGCCAATATCACGCTATGATCGAGATCCTCAACCGAACCAAGAGGAGTAGTAGGCGGACTAAGAGGGGCAGGAGGAGGAGGTTCGCCCTTCACACCTACTCCCTCCGTAACGATCATTGCTAACATGTGCTTGCGTTCGTCGGCTACGATCTCGGTGATAACACCTGTCTGGGAGAGAGGCCGGGTCTTCGCCGTCGTCTGCGGCGGCTGAGGCGGAGACGCGCCATTCTCCCCCCGCCTTGCCACCGCTGAGCTCGAAGAAGAAGCAGCGGGGTGGTGTTCTTCCAACGGAGTTTCTCTCGTGCTTGCGACCTCCGCGAAGGACATTAAAGTGCCATAGCCTGCCGAAGTCCTGCTCAGACGAAGTGCCACGTGGCGCGCATCGCGCGAGAGAGACGCCGTGTCTGGCAATCTGACAACAGCGCGCCATCGCTCCTGATTGATCCCGGTTCCGTGCTCAACTTCCCCCTCCATGTCCAGCCACACCCTTCCGGAGGAGGAAGATGAGAAGGAAGGTGACGGAACGGATCTCTCCTCCCGTACCACGATATCGCCATCGCCATCCTCTTTTTCACCGTCTTCCTCAACTTCCTCCTCTTCATCACCTTCGTCGGAGGATGTACCCGTTCCACGCAAGGCAAGGATTGCAAGCCCCGACTCCCCACCCACAACGAGCAGTTGTGTGTAAGCGCTGGTTTGCCGCCTGCCAAACTTGTCGTTTTCTGATACATGGCATGCCCATTCGAATGCCCCATCGTCGCCTGCGATCGGTCTGGAAAAAGCCGGTATGCTGGGGTAATGGTTGAGAATCTCCTCTTGCCCTTCCTTCTCCTTCGATTTCCTCCCCCCCCTCCGGTCATGCCTCGCGCCCGCGTGCTCCGGTTCGCCACGGCCGCCCTTCCCCACTGCCCGATTTCTCCCCTCCTCCCAAGCCGTTCCCCCATCCAGAGCGCCATCGCCGTGGTGGTCCCCACCACTCGCGGCGCTCCTTCTCCCCAATCGCAATCGTCGTCCTTGATCTCTCCTCCTCCAGTCGCTCAGAGTTCCGAGCTTCCCCTCCTCGCGCACGGCGCGGACGAGCGAGATACGTCCATCCTTCGAGCGCACGGCAAGAAGATCGCGCAGGGGGGACAACCTGGCTGACGTGTACGTGCGGAAATCCGAGTCAGGGCTCCAGCCACACAGTCGGACCTGAAACATGTCCTGACAAAAGTGCCTCCCGCTCCTCCCCGCCCCCTCGCTTGCCTCTTCCGCATGTTCTCCCCCGGTCTTCCATCGCTCCGACACCTCCGCTCCTGACTGAGCGGCACTCTGCCCGCCCGCTGTGCGCTGCAAAGAGCTACACATCGTAGCTCAACCGGAAGCTAACTCCGCTCGATGGCGTCGCACCGACCCTCCGAAGCCTACCAAACTGCCGCCGCGCTTCGGTTTCCCCTCCTTGACTACCATGGCATGGACACAGCCCAGGAGCACGTCACACTGCACTCAACCTTCCCCCCGCCACAACCACATATCATAATCAGTCAGTCAGTAACGGGGACTTACCAGGCACAGGCAATTCCAGTCCATCGCCTGCGCGCATGCCAACGAGGCTCGGCCTCTGCTGCGAAGTTCTGTCACAAATTTCGCAGCACAGCCACAGCGAACTTTCCTGGACACATACGGGATTCATGCAGCTGGCATAGATAGCGAACTTCCACCGTAGCGCACAAATTTGTTGGTGACTGTTGTTTCCTTTTTTCATTCAAACGGCCTAACCTTCTTACTCGGAGCATACTCACACTACTGCAGTCAGATACGTTTTGGAAAGTGCTTGTGTTTAGTATCCCAGTTGGGCATCTTCCACAACGTCTCATTTATCCGCGTAATTGCGGTGAGATGCCCTCATTTTGCCAGAGGGTAGACTTTCCCAACCTCGGCGGATGGCCTAAGGGACAGCCAGCCCCGTTGTTGATAAAATAATAATAATGAGGAAGGTCTGCGGCCTGTGTAATCAGCAGGGCCTAGCGGCAAAAAAAAAACAGCCAGCTATGTTCTTCTCTCAATTTCACCTCACACTACCTACCTACCACTACTGCTAATTGTAGGCATAGGGGGAACCCCCTAGCAGCCAGAACCGTGTTCATGAGAGAACATGCGGGGGCTGCTCCCGACCTGCAGGTGGGCGATACCGGCTAGGCGACAGCCGATAGCATCAGGGACCATACCAACAGGACCAATCCCTATGCCTCCCCTCAGGTCCCCTCCCCTACGAACGTCAGCAGACTCTGCTCAATGCCGGTCGGGGGATCCAGTGGTCTATCTCTAGGTGGCGGGCGCGAAGCATGCCCAGGAAGGTACATAAGGCTAATGGGGATTGAGCCCACGACCTCCTGAATGCCACTTGCGTGCCTTACCAACTGAGTTAGGCCGCTGGATGAGCCAGCCCCTTTGATAATAATGAAGAAGCACTGTTGTTGTGAAAAAAAAAAAAAAAAAAAAAAAAAAAAACGCTGCGGCCTGTGTGTGTAATCAGCAGGGCCTAGAGGGAAACAAAAAAAATAAAAATAAAAGAAGGAAAAAGGCTGCGGCTTGAGGGTCCGAGTTGATGGCCGCAGTTTTTCCTGTGGCCGCTCTGCACAGCTGCCAAATGCTGCTAGACTGCAGCTCAACCTCGCCCTCGACGGTAAACGGGGTACTGGGGCCAAGTCCCACTAGCAGCGTTGAGCTACCTCAACGCCTGAATCCGACGCTTTTTCGGAGATGTGCAGAAATGGTGTCGAGTTTCCTGAACGGCACATCTCCACAAAACACGTCCAGATTCAGGCGTTAAGGTAGCTCAACGCTGCTAGTGGGACTTGGCCCCTGGAATGCCCAGCAACCTCCAGTATGGGGACCACGCCCCAGCCTTCCCGCAACCTCCAATTTTCTTGGGAAAAAAAAAGGCCAACCAAATACCCTTTGTACCCCGGAAAGTAACTGGCTTCCGGCCCCCCCCCCCCCAAAAAAAAAAACAAAAAAAAACAGAAAGTAACTGGCGTATTGGCCATGACCCTAATGAAAAGCCCCTCAACGAATCGGGTGCGCCATTCTCTGTTATAGTCAGGGCCATGTTTGGGACACGTGGCGACTCTGAAATTACAGTTCCACCGACGTATGGGATACCGCAGGTCTCAGTTGTTTCAGTTGTGCCCAGTACCCGTCAAATTCGCGTTTCGGTTTTGCCCATGTACATGTCTGCAATATTCATGGGACCCACCGGCCGTACGCAGCCGTACACAGCAGGTATGGACAGGTGTGGGTATGGAAAACGAGTATGGCGCGGTTCAGCGAGTGTGGAAATCTGACGGGGGAATATGGGAGAGGGGGGAAATTGGTAAACGGCGGACATGCAGGGAACGCAGACCTAGGGGCCTCTGTTTTTCCGTTTCTTTTCCCATCTTTCTGTGTCTAAAAGGTACAGTAAATTGGTGTTTGTCAGTCAAAGATATGGTCTGGCTGGTTGAATACCAACCAGTTGCGGCATGCGGCTTGTTGCCTGCATGTGCACCCAAAAGAGTCAAAACAGCCACCACAACAAAACAAGCAGCTTATTTTATTTATGTATGCGCTCATCTACATGTCCCCCGGGCGCAGGGTGTGCAAGTGCGTGTGAGAGAGAGAGAGAGAGAGAGAGAGAGAGAGAGAGAGAGAGAGAGAGAGAGAGAGAGAGAGAGAGAGAGAGAGAGACTGTGATTCAAATGTGCGTTTGGTTTGATTCTCTTCTCTAATGCTGAACCTACAGAAATCAGAACGAAAAATAGCTTAAGTTTGGGTGCTCAGAATCTTAATCACACATAGGCCCGCAAATGTCAGCATGAAACCCGCATCACTTTGGTGGCCCTGGTGGTGCGGCGCCTCCGAGTTTTGTATGTGGCGATAAAAGCTTTCTGCAAGGCTGGGGCCATGTACTAGAGGTTCAAAACGGAAAAAGAAAGAAAAAAAAAAAGAAAAAGAAACTCCCTTCTGGGTGTTAGAGGTGCTGATGCGAGCAGACACCTCTCCATCTATTGGTGGGGAGCATCACCTGCTGGAAAACGGGTCCAGTGTCCCATATACAATACAAAACTTGTGTCTGAGAGATTGAAATTGTGACTGCGATGTACGAGAGGGCTGCTGCCTGCCAGCATTGATTGCCCTGGGTAACCAGGGAATTGACTGAGCAAGCACACTAGAAAAATGATTGACACTGATTTGCACCTGAGAGATTAAAAATTGTAACTGCGATATGCTAGAAGGCTATTGCCTGCCAGCATTGATTGCCCTGGGTATCCAGGGGAGTAACTGGGCAGGCATACTAGAAAAATGATTGAGATGAGAGGTTGCTGCCTGTCTCCTCAGCCCAGCTGAAATCTTCTTGCTGCTGTTTGGTCAAAGTTTCTCCTCCTGTCTGCTACCCGGGCGGGGGGGGGGGGGGGGGGTTTTTTTTTTTTTTTTTCCGGGGCCCCCCGCCATGAACATCATTTGGGCGGGGGGGGGGGGGGGGGGGGGCAGGGGGGGGGATCTGTCTTCCTGTCTTCCTGGGGGGCACCACTGGGGTGCTCAGAATCTTGTACATGGTTTGATGCAATTTTTCTTTCTATTTTAACAACTAATTTATTATGGAAATCATGGCCAGGCACCTCACAATTCAACCTGGATACTGACAGCATTACTCGGCTTAGCTTATGAGCAAAGGGAAAAAAACTCAACGACCGAATTTCCATTCCTATTAAACCACCACTACCTTTCCCATATGTCGGCCGCGGGCATCTAGTAGCCTACTCCTGAGAAATAGTCGCCACGCCGCCGTCGATATTTTACATCAACGGCGCGTGGCGGCCGAATTTGAATTTGAGGCCCGTGGCCCCACATATGAGGAAGGTAGTGGTGGTTTTAAACTTTAAACCCTTCTGGAGATCTATTACCCCTCAAATTGCGGCTAAAGTTATGCTCTTTCATAGCACTGCGGCAACATTGGAACGCTGGACCCGATTTCCAGCAAGTGATCCTCCCCACTTATAGAATGGAGCCATCAAACAATGGGGACACCACCCCCTGGAGGCTGCTTGTTACTACTTAGGCCACTGTTAGCCCAACAACTCCTCTTCCTGAATACACTTACTTTAAACTACCTACCCCAGTCCGGTCTGAATACCGGTCTGATTCGACCGGTCGGAACCCTTGTTCCAAGTAACCACTGACACTTGCCACCGTCCAACCCACTCACTGGCCAGCCTGAAACCTTAGGAACCGAGTGCCCCGGCTCCTCTACCAACTACGTACCTACCCCATTTGTTAAAAACTAGACATCTCTAACACCCAGGGAGACAGGACCAGGCCTCTGACATGATGTGCTGCTACAAGCTGGTGACGCCAGGCCCACATTCGGAGGAACCAAAGACCAAAGCAACTGTTTTCTGCTTCCCTTCCCCAACTTTGCCCTCCCCCTCCAATCGACAATGATAACCTCCTTCAGCTCCTGTTTGATCAGGTTCTTGATTTCTTTGTCAGACATAGGTCTTCTTTTGAACCTTGCCCTTATTTTTTATTTTTATTTTTTTTTAAAAGAAAAATATCTCCATCTATTGGTGGGGAGCTGCACCTGCTGGAAACCGGGTTTGAACCTTGCCCTGTTGCCCTGTTTTGGTCTTTTCAGACGATTTCACAGGGCAGAGCCCGGATCATGTTAGCAATGTAACCCCAGCCACTCTTACCGAGCTTGCCAAAAGGAAGAAAGCCCAATAGAACCCATCTTCCATCCCATAGTATGCACATAGTAAGAAGTGCACTCTACAGATTGGTGTGAAGTATGGTTAAAATGACCCTTTGGTTTTCTTATAAATGGGGGTGAAAATTGGGGGGTCGGTTAACCTTCTGTCAGAGTATGGACTGATCATCGAACTCTTTCCAATGGCTTTCCCACCACCTCCAGATGCGCTTTCAAGCCGGGCATTCCCACCAAAGATGTCGGGTTGACTCGAACAGTCAGCTGCATCGCGAGCATTCAAACTCTACCTCCATGCGCCCCCCACCCCCCCACCAGTAGCCAGACAGCCGAGGGCGTCACCAGCAGGGAGAGCAACCAAAGAGTACTCACCTGCTTTCTGTTAGGTGACCAGGTAAGTATCTTCTACAGTTTCTCAAAATGAGCCCCTGCTGACGAAAGGTCTTCAGGCCAGATCGCTTGCCATGTAGGCTAAGTGATTTTTGTTTATCTTATATATATTTTCTCTCTGATGTGGCAGCTTGGAGACAGGTACGACTGATTTTTTTATTTTTTATTTTTCCTTTGTCCTTTGTTATGAGTCTTATGACCAAATGCATCCCCCCCTTTAAGCTTGGCCGGTGATGCCTCACTTATAGGAGGAGCTGCCATACTTTTGTGAGGGAC